AAACCGAAGGGGCCCTCATAAGAACCCCGCAGTGATATCCGAAAGAACAACACAAAAACAAAACAAATTCTACTCCATATTTTAATTCTCCATTTCCACACACGTATAGTAGTCCCACCTTTAGATTTAAAACTCTTATTTACGGTTATCTTGACAAAAAAGGCCCATTTCTGCTTTTTGCCCCTAGTATTTCCAGAACTTTGTTACCTACTGCCTAAAAATTTTACCGATAACAAACAAAGTACATTACGTATTTACATCCCAAATGTTCTATTGGGAAGAAAATACTCCACGCACAAGCAAATACATTGTAGAAATGTATGAACAAGAGAACCAACTCTCCGCGTTCATTTTATACATAGTTATCACACCACAGTCAAAAATCGAAGATCAACACATAACAACACCATTATATCATATCTCTAATATCACATAGGAATTAAACACAAAGAAAAATCATACATAAACAATGGATCAAAACCACGTCAGATGAATAACTCAAGCTGTTGGATATGTTATTGATGTAATCGAAGCTTCTTCTGTTTGTTCCAGTGAACTCAGCTTGCAAACTTTAGGTTTGGTCTGCTCTTTAAAAGAAACTATGTGCCTTTATTTATCGAGAAATCTGCCGAAATGAAAATGGCGCCGATAAACAGGAGCCTTAGAATACGTAGTACTCAGAACGGCTGACATTAGAATATACGAGCGAAGAAATCCAATAGGCTACTCAGGATTTCTGTAAATATTTTTTGCACCTCGTATATTTTTGAAGTTGTTACCATTAAAACGATATTAAAATCGATAAAATCAGCGAAAAATGCATTAAAAATGACGTAATAGGGTAAAAATGACTTATTAGTTATTATGAAAACTACAAAAAATACTAATAAAAATGGATCATATCGTTTCGTCATAACGTAAAATGAATTTTTATACTTAACGATATTGTTCTAAAATGAAAAGAACAAAAATGGCATTTCATTAAAATCCGCCCCTAGACATAATGGTGCAAATTACATAGCGCTCTATTACACGCGACCCTACAACCTCGTCCGATTTTAGGTCTTCATAACCTTAGCCCAAGAGCCGGCAGTCAGAATTGCAGTGCACTCGCTGTTCACAAATAAACTGATGACCCGAATCTACGACAGCAAGTCGATTCTTGGAAATGCGCATTATGTTATGTAATGATATTCAAGCTGCAACGAATTCTAGAAATTACAATAACACGTACTGAGGGAATCTATACTTTTGATGTCAAAACGGCCAAGAAATTATTTATTCCTACTATTTCACGCAGTGTTCCTCACAATTTAGAAGTATTTTAAGCATTGTACTGGAAGTATTATCATCTTATTATAAATGGTTGTTTTTTATTCCTTTCACCCTGAATGTGAACATCTTACTACGTAATTATCAATTACATACATACCTTTGCGCTTTTTCATAAAATCCAGCCTCTTTCAGTATTTGAACTTTCATGCTAAAACGATCTGCAAGTTGCCATCCGCGCCGCACGATGTACACACTGGCAGAATTCTTTAAAATACACTCTCTTACAATGTGAAACATGGGACGGCCATTCTCATCCATGTTTTGTGATAAACGAGAAAGTTTTTCCAAAAGATGTGCATCTAAAATCACTGCTGCATCGTACGAACTCCGAATGTCTTTTTGTATTGCATCGCCATCCCAATTAGAATTATATTTTTTCAGTAGTTTCCTAACCACATCGTCATCATCAAATTTCTCTAGCATCGTTGTCAATGTAGGAGTGATGTACACTCTTTTCACCTGCCTGTTGACTTCTTCAAGCGTTTGAAGCTGGATGGGCTCGCGAGTCGTGGCCAGAAAACTCATGAATACTCCCAAAAATGCGTTGACCATGATCAGCCCGAAAGCCGTCAGGAGCACGAAAAGAAAGTTGACGAGCGGCCGCTGACGTACATCAAAACTTCCTACAAGAAAAGTTCTGAAGGTGTCCATGATGGGCTGAGGGTTCCCCAAAAAGTGTAGTACTCCGACGCAGATGAGCAGAGTGGCTGCTAAAGCCGCCCACAGATCTCCCGTAAAAGAGTCAAATATATTCTGAGCGTTTCTCTCCTTCCTTTTTACGAGGACGCAAAGGTCTGAAGATGCGTGAGGATATAAGGACATGTAGTCAGAATGATCAGGAGGAGCGTAGTAGACAGAGGAATCGTAAATATCCATCACTCCCATTCCCAAGCTTATTATCATTCCATGTCTTCCACCGGGCACGTGAAAACATTGCTCCGACCCGAGGTGCTCGGCGACGATTTTTAGAATAAATGCGTCTAAAGAGCTAGGCCGCCATTCTGGTTTACAAACGGTTATGTCCTTGGCAACGACCCGCACTTGTCCGTGTCCGTCTGAATTCGGCAGCAGCGCTCGTAGACCTCTTGTATTTGAACCTGCTCTTTTGGGCAGTAAAGGAGTGAGATTCGAAATGTAATATATTGCGCATTGATGATGCAGTGACGAAATTTGATCTGGAGGAATTTGTAACTTTACTCTCATTGCCTCCACACGCTGTGCACATTCATCCGGATGTTTGATAAAATTGTTGGGGGAAACCCAAAAGTTCTTGGGGTAATTTCGTGAATATTGAGAAACGGGTCTATTCCGAGTTGGTAGCGTCGTTGAAGCAACTGTTTCATTTTCCATTGCGTTTTTCTGAAGAGAGATCGCAATAGACGACACAAGAAACAGGATATACAGCGGTACAAAGATGCTAATGAATGAAGCCATGGATATGTGTATAATACATTTGTAGGATTTGCAATTTGAAGAAATTTGAATATCCAATTTTATGGCTATTAATATTCGATAACGAATATTGTTACTTTCTCTCTCCTGGCCAGTAAGTACGTTCGTCTAACAGAAATAATCAATTGCATGTAAAATTAATCTTCTAATTCGGGTTGGTTTTCTGAAAAATAAATTATTTCATCAATTAATTAATAGTATAAAATAAACAGCACTTGCAAACAGCTACTAATGCTGAGCCAAACAGGAAAATGTGAAGGATAAAACTTATATCTATTGATGAAAAAAGGAAAGAAAGTTTTTTGACAATGCACAGAAAATAACCAATAAATACTGATTGGTTTGTAGTAAGTGATGCAATAATGAAAATATATTCCGAAATATTACTTTCTTGCCTGAGATAAACCAATTGAGTGTCTCTTAGATACCATGTAATTTTCCAAAACATGTGTAATGAAAGGCTACCTACGTGTAGACTGTGTTCCCTTAAACATACGAATAAAATTTGCTTACCACTCTTGATAGTATCACAGTGTAGATGAATCGTTCGAGTTCCGCTGTTGATTATTCAGACACAGGAGTAGAATTGATTGACGGGGTAAGGAATACTGAAATTAGGAAACGCCTGCTATATTGTTTCTGGTTTCCTAACAGATGAAATGCTACTCGTCGAAATCAATAAACGTGTTCTCTGTTTCGAAACCTGGTCCGTGTATCGTATTCACACGATATGTCATTTCCTAACGAATTTGGAAAAACAAAACATTGGAAAGAATTCTAAATTCTTGTTAGTCTCCTCAGTCGCAGTCATGAACGGTCGATGTTAATAATTGTATCTCTGCATCGAAAAACAATTTCTACTCAATAGTTTTCTTCTTTATCACTATTCTATTCAACCCCATCTGAACTGATTTTCAACACGCTCTAATACCTTTAAAAAACTTTTCCCCAAATATAGTAGTCTCTACTGTAGTAGGGTAATGAAAGTAATCAACGGAAAATCGATAACCCTAGATATCCGAATTTTTTTTTTAATCCCTCAGTGAAATCTATTACTTTTAGGGCATGCAAAGTGTGCCAAGTTCAATTTGAAAGACTAGTGCTAAAATTTAGATGATACTCAAATGTTCAGATAAAACTATGAATTTAAAAAAGGAAACAAAACACTTTATTCTGATCCTCTTCATGTCACACTTCTCAATGCTTGAATTAAAATGAATGACTTGTCTAAAATGAAAGTCTGTCTAAAAAATAGTGTATGACACGTGCGTATAAAGTAATTTTATTTGGCTCAAATTTTTGCGACACTCTGCCTATCGACCTTGTGTCGTAACACATCCTAATTGCGAAATAAAATGCCATTTTTACGTTGTATGAAAAAAACTATTATTGGTTCAAACGTCTGAAAGTAAAAAACACTGTAAAAATGTATATATTTTACATTGACAAAGTACACATTAAGTAACTCACGTCAATTAAGTACACTATGTTCCCATTTCACTGTCAGGTATGGTTTCTTATTTATGCCATTTCTTTTTATCATTTCAAGATTCAATTTCAAATCAATTGATTAAATCATTCGGAAATTGCAGTTTTAGAGTCCTGCCATTATAAACTAGTAGGGCTAGCGAAAGGAACAGGCATTCCCGAACTAGTTTGTTTTCTAATCTCCTTGGTATAGGCTAGCTTACGGTACTGCTCCACCCTCTTTCCGGCTGCTATCTGTCAGCAGCTGAAAATCATGTTGCACATTTTCTCATTTATTCGGTCCCCTAAAAATATAATTGAAATATGATTTCAAGAACTTTGATAAACACGATAAGCGTTTAGAAAAACGAAAAACATGAAATGGTGTACCTGATTTTACTTATTGTCATGAACTGCAGAACAATTTTTATGTTCAGAAGTCGATCTTGTGGAATATTTTTCAAGAAATTAATAGTCATATCCAAATATCTAATTTACGTAACACCGGGAAAGAAATCCTTTACACTGATAAAGAATTAGTATATAATTGTCTTGGCATATTAGGTTCAATGTTTACAGTGTACACTGTTTTGTTTATTTATACACTAGAATTTTATAGTTTCTTGAAACTGGTTCAAAAGAAGCTTCATAGTATATTAAGAAGATATGATTTATTTTGTTAGTTCTTGTTTTGAATAACGTTAGTTTATCATCTACACAAACACCCTGCAATTTTAAGGCCTGTCACACGAGCGTTGTGTTCACGCACGTCAACAAACGCAGATGACATCAGCTGTGTCGATGCCTGCACACGAGACACTTAACGCGCGTCGTACTTTCAGCCTTACGCTAAACAGCACAAGAGCGCTCTTGGCGACGTGTGTAATTGCCAACGCGCGTCATCAAGCGAGCATCGCGCGTTGGATGCAGAAAACGCTGTATCCTTACTTAAGCTGTAGCTTGTGGGCAAAACGCACGTCACCAAGAGCGCTCATGTGCCGTTTCGCAAAAGATAGCGTTGATTTACGACGCGCGTTAAGTAACTCGTGTGCGCAGGCATCAACGCAGATGACGTTATCAGAGTTAAGTTACGCGCGTCAACGCAACGCACGTGTGACACAGGCCTAAGTACGAGTAAAACGAATGGGAAAAATCACCATTGAAGCGAACTAAATTACTTTCTAATAAGCTTCTTTTGAAGAGGCGATTCCCAAATTGACGTAGGATCATGCTGGTAGTAGCTGGATTGTCTGAGGTCAGAAACACAGGAGTACAAAACAAACTATTGGTGTTACAACACAATTACAATTGCACATAATTTCCGCATTATTGCAAACGATTCTCTATCCAAAGGAACATTTTAGAGAAAAAATGAATCGTTTTTCAGATAGTTTTATCAATTGCTTCAATTTCAAGCGCCCACACGTTTGCAGGAGTCAACGGCTGGGGGTCATCAGTCCCATAAGCGTAGTGCACCTTTTCATGGGAGGTGGAGGTGACTTCCCTTCTCATCTCAAAAAAGTCATGTGCAAAACAAATCAGATTCAAACAATTCAGAATAGTAACTCATATTAGTCTGGGATAATTATGGTTATTTTTAATATTACAAATAGTACAATCAAGATAAATGTTTTATAATTATTTTTCTATAAAGTTTGTAATATTTCTTTTCTGTTTTTGTGGCGTAAACTCCTCACAAATGTAGTAAAATACAATAGAGTCATTCAAACAAGCTCATCCAGAAGAATGTTTTGTAACAAAATAAGATCTATTAATAGAAAGAAGCTCAATTTAAGTATCCTGAAAATAATGCAATATTCAATGAAAAAAACAATAGTGTATAAAGACAGATATTTGCATTAAATGCTGTGAGTTTTGAGAGTCATTCATTACAACATTCATAGAACAAAAACTATGGAATATGACATATTTAGATTCAACAAACCTAATTTACTATAAATTCGTTGCAAAGTCCTGGGAAATGGATTTTTTTGTTTTATTAGGTGTTATGGTTATTCTTAATAGTAGACCATGAAATAAGATCATCAATATATCCCAGAATATCTCTACTTATTACTTTACCTCACTGGTGCAGTAAAATGATTCATTACACTAGTCACAACTAAATATTGTCATAAAATTTGACTAAACTAACCAAAATGGATTAAAAAATAAATAATATTATTTCTAGTTATGACTATTTTTTCTTTCATTCATTTTATTATTCACGGAAAACATTGACGAAAATAGATTTCAATTTTAAATGGTGCAACAAATCTATACTATTTCAGCTATTGGAGTAAATATTTTCATTTTACATATATTTATTACACAAAAATAAAATATAATTCTTCAACTATTATGCTAACCTACGTTTTCGGGGAGGATGACCAAGGTTTTGGAATGCAACCATTAGGAAGTCATATTATAACATTACAATTGTCTTTGTCCCTAAATAACTCGCATTCAGATTGAATAAAAAGCTAAGCATATATACTTTTGAATAATAAGGAATGAAACAAAATATTCAATCGCCTTTTAAGATTCGTACAAAATAGCTCTATATTTCCTAACAAACTGCGATTCAGATGCCTTGTTCAATTACTAAAAACAAGAAAAATACAAAAGAGATCTACAAGTTCAAGATACACTATTATGTAATTCTACCTATTACGTATTTATGCAAAAATAATTCTACCTATTATTTATTTATACAAAAATAATTCTACTTATTATTTATTTATACAAATTATCATTAACTTTATAATCCCACATTTCAAGGATTTCTTCTATTTCTGCAAAAGAAGATCCATATAAGCACCAGCTATTAAATCATCATTTTTTATTCCTAATTTTGCCATTATATCTTCTGCGATTTGTTGTCCATCTTCACTAGTTTGACCACTTTTCAGAACTACCTGCAAAGAGAAAAATAACATTTCATACGATAGAATATAACAACAATTAATGAAAAACATGAACACTACACTGAAGAACGTGAAACATGAAATTATGGTGGTAATCATATTTTCTTGCAAATATTTAACATAGGGAAAATACTGGAAAACTGGAAATTATAATCGTCATAGATCCTAGAAAGAGGTGAAAATTTCTTCTTCAAATTATAAATACATTTATTGGTTACGGCACAAGTTTTGAACAAGAGAAAAGATTGCATCCTCAAAAATGAGGAACTATTTAGCTTGTTGAGGAGCCTCCGGGGACTACTTTCTTGATAAAATGCTAAAATGCATGTTCTTAGAATATATTTTATAAACTTGTCAGACTCGCCTATTGCGGGAGTCTCCTACTAGCAGGAGGACCTACGTTAGCTGCTTGTGAGATTTCGCTGGGCGAGATCGTTTACCGCCATCTAGCCACCATATCTCTACAGCTGGATCCGATGTTTTACCGTCACTATAACATCGGTAAGGGAATTGATTTCCGGTAACGACGCCAACGGCGCGAAGGTCATCGTCTACTTGCTATTGACGAGGAGGCTAACTTCTCTAAGACTCACAGGAACCTTTTTCGTAGAGCGCTAGAGAAGAGCACCCACTTCTCCAAAATCGCTTGAACTATCTCTCGAGACTTGTTAAATCCCCACATGGAAACACCTTATCCAAAGCAGGCCAAGCCAACCCAACCCCACGCAACGAAGATACGACACCACAACCATCTCTCAGGACACAAACCGAAACCAAAAGATGGATTGTCCCTTTTAGAATTGGCATCTTTACTGGATCCTTCTCAGCGAAACAAGAACCATATGAAGACCTGGAGCACCCACATGACCGCTAATGCGCACGGACTGAACTTTTAATGCAGCCCATTCCAAAATACAAGTGTCTTGACCATATCTTCGAGTCCCAACTGAAGGGACTTTACTTTCCCTTCCTCCCCTACCACTTAAACTGCACAAAGAAGAATAACGTGATCACAAATTTGCAACGAGACGATGGCGGGACACTGACCAGCTTGGAATATACACTGGAGTCTAACAAGAAACACATGACAGAAATGTAAAAATCTCGAATGCATTAAATACCACGGGAACAGACGAAGTATACAAGATTACAGGTAGAGTTGTTTTGCGTCCTCTGCGTCTTACCCCCCCCCCCCCCAACAATGTCCTTCCCGACCCCAAACAAACCAATATTTTCCTCCAGAATGACAAAACTGCTCCCTGAACCATCATGTCCTTATAATGCCCAAGCCAGAACTCTCAGCCAACAACTACAGACGTCCACACCACCACACTCCAACCATCTTACCTCAAACCTTCCCTCCTTTTGAGAATCGAACTTTACTCCTACGCGTCAGCTACAGCTCCATCCCTATCCACCTTCCACTCACAACCTCTTCAGCCCACAGCCAAGAACGCTTCAAGCACTTTTCTCTCTTTTCCAAAACCCCAACATTAAGAACACCCTCTCTAACCTAAAACCACTCCTCCAATTTCTAAGCGGCCTAAAGGTCCTAATCCCGAAATTAATCATAGAAGGTATCAAGCTGTTAATAGTCCTGAATTAAAATGGCTCTCCCACCTCGCTTCCTAACCCTGTCCTTGTGGAACGCGCGAGGCAACCAGAAACTTTTCTTGCCTACGGTAATTCTTAAAAGTCTACTTCATCGGGACGATTTAACTAAAGGTGATATGGCTGACACCCATCATATCCCTCTCTAGTACAAATCATAATATCGTAAGATGTGACGGAACCACTTTCTCAGGAGGCAACACGGCTATCTCGACCCGACGGTCGTTCCCGCGCACCCTGTATCAACTTCCCCAGACAGCAGCATTAAAATGTACTGTCATACTAATTAGAAGGCCAATCCTCATCACACCCTGCTGTAAGAAATCTCGAACCCAATCCTAAATTCCGACCATGACATCCTTCTCAAACTCTTCGTAATAGTCGGCGACCACAGTGTAACAGGCAAGTGGGCTGCATGACAAGTACGAGACAAGAAAACTTCTTAAACCAAAACCCCAGATTAACATTAAAGAGCTACCGGAATCTACCCATATCCTTAATGACATCCTACGTGACATGTACTCGTATGCTTCCGCGGCTCGAGATCATGAGTTCTTGGCTGCCCGGGTGACGCCGCGTGGTTAGCTGAAAGCCTGACGTTTCGCCTGTCATGTCGCAGGCTTCAGCAACATTATCATCCCCTCTTCCCAAATCCATATAACCACCCCTACCCGAAATATATGTCATCTCCGACTGCCCTCCAATAGATTTTACCTGCCCCTCACCCTTTTCACACACATTGCCAAAACTTCCAACACACAAAACCGATTGAAAAACGCAAATCAGTTCCTATCTAAGAAAATCAGCTTCTTTTTCCAACACACGTTTACAAAAACTTTTGTATTATATTTTTATGCAGTTGTAGAAAATGTGCTGTTCATATTTCGTGTGTGAAGTTTCTGTTTTCTTTATATATAAATGGGTCAATTTCTTTCGTTAAAACACAATATTAATTTCTATTCTAAACGGTATTGTTCTAAAGTGAAAAGAAAAAAATTGGCATTCATTAAAGTCCGACGCCTACTAATACCTTGCCTTCCTTGCATTCTTCCGCGCCCTCACACTCCTGAAATCATTAAATACCTTCAACCTCTAGCCCTCCCACACTTCCATCAACCCATCCAAATCCCAAGATATACTCTTTTCTCATACTATTTTCACCCAACTTTCCTCCTCTAACCATACGCACACTTATTCCCCGGAAACCTCAAGTCAAATACTTCAGTCATCCCTCTCATACTGACTCCTTTGAACCCAATGCATACATCCAACCACCAGTTACAAAAACCATTAATACTCTGTACCCCATCCTCATAAATCCATCACTATTGTTCAAAAAGAAACCGATTATCCCTAAAGCCGCCCGAAACTATCATATGCATGTAATACCTGATTCGCCAATTCACCACATAAACTAATCCGCTCAGAAAACCATGTTCTTTGCCATATCTTCCGTTCCAGCATGTATGTATGTATGTATATTGTATGTATATTATATATTTCAAGCTAACCCACCTACCCCACAACTTACCACCTTCACAGCAGCACCCATGAACCGTAAGCGGGTTATCAAGATTTTGATCGTGAAGCGAGCTCAAAAATCTAGGGAACAGGATAGGTTTGAACCCTTGACAATAAAAATCACACGAAATTGCACACAAACGAGCGTATAATTTACCCATAAACTTTTAATGGCATATGTGCAAGACAAAAACCAAGAATATAGAATCACACTTTTACAAAGAATGGTCAAAACACAATTAGAAACCTTTACAACATACACTCATATGAATGAACACCTAATTTACTCCAAAATTGATACTCTGAAATAATTACTCTGATCTACACTGGGAATTCCCTTGGAAAATTAATTGTATCTAAATTTATGCTATTCTAATTACATTGCACATGAAACCAAAAATTCAATTTACAATCTCCTGCTTCATAATATTACATGCAAAGAACAAAATGTGTGCAAGTGCACTACTCTCATTTACAATTTAACTGTGTCTGAAAATAGCACAATAATAAATGTCCTAAGTAGAATGTTTTATGCAGGCAATGGCGCATCAAAATGTCTCCTACTCTAATACTGCAATTTGTTGCCACCCGTGTCCTCAAATTCTTAACACTTTCCTATACTAGTTTTTTCCCTACCGACGTGAACTTGACCTAATGTTAAACGAACGACTAAATGTTACCTCGTGGACTTCCCACTTTTGGCCTTGATGGTCGTGCGTTTCTCCGTCGACGTCGCTCGGTCCCAGCTTCTGCATCGTAAGAAACGGGATTCGCCTCTGCCGTCTACGCTGTCTTCTTGCGTCCTCTTCCGTTCTTCTTCGTAGTCGATCCGTCTTCTTCCTCGTGCGCCCAAGTCCTCGGCCTCTTCTTCCTCGCCTGGTACCGGCGCCTCTGACTACGCCCACGTTGCGAAAATTTCCCTTGCACTTTACCGAATACTCGTGCAAGTTCCTTGCTCGATGGTACTTTTACTTTGCTAAGCCAGAACTTTTAATGTTTCTTTCACAACGGGTAACTTTTACTTCCCGTGTTATTAATTGAAAAAACACTACTTAATCTGCACTATCTCGCGGAAGCCTGACTAGAACGTCTGTTCGACGCCGAATACTCCTACCTAGTAGTCGTTGCAGCGGCAAACAATATCTAAACTAATGTTAGCGAAAGTGTTGGCTCGGCGAGCGATGATCAAAATGCTACTGGCTCGGCGATCAGTGGTAAGAGACTGGCTCCGCTTGCGGGTTCGCGTATTTATCGCGCGGCGCCTGGGGAAATTCTCAGTAGTAGGGCTGCTCCCCCTCTCAACCCTTCGCAAGGGAAACATTGCTTGCAAGTTCGCCTTCGTTTAGTACGGGCAACGGATACTAGGCCGCGCGTTTTAGTACTCTGCCTACACGCCTGGCCATCCTCGCTGCCTGAGGGTGTTCATACATACGAGCATACGTGGTGGTTATGGGGGTTGAACAATCCAATAACGCCACATTGTGGTACGGAGTATGGTGTACGGAGGTGTGTGTGTGTGGTGTAAAGAAAATATATCTTTCTTTATTCTAAACATGACGTGATTCCCACCCTTGGCGCGTGGTTAAGAGTGGTTACGCGTAGTTGAAAACTAAGGTCCGCCAGAGGGAATGAGTGGGACGATTGCTGATAAATATTGAAATTTAAGTTATTAAAGTAAGTGTAAACAGAGAAGCGGTTAGTCAGCTTTAATTGTCATTTCTCTGTTTACAGGTAAGTTTACAATTTGTTTAGGTCAAATAGTCTTCGTTAATAATGTTAATGTTATAATATTATATTTAAATAATGTTAATAGACTTCGTAAAATGATGTTTCATGAAAATAGGAAAATAATAAACTCC